AAACCAGAAGTTAGCGGCTCAGCCGGTGGATGTCTCTAGTGTTTGCTCTATGGGCTGCTCCATGTGGAAGCACAGCTGGAACATCCATCCAAGTTTCAAACATTGTCAAAGTGTTTTGGCCTCATGCGACACTGAACAGCTTCACTGAGCCCTCCTCCAACATCGTATCCAGTTCTCCTTAATAAATCCCGGGCTATCATTTGTTTGTGCAGTTGAAGAAACCTTGAATTTTCCATCTATAATGTTTAGTTATAGTAGTGTACATGATGGGATCTGCAGACATCATCATGGTTCAGCCCTGATAGTCCACTGGGACACTGAGACTGTGTGTTGTGTTTCAGGCGGTGTGGGCTTTGGGCAACATAGCGGGAGATAATGCTGAGTGCAGAGACTATGTGCTCAACTGTGGCATCCTGCCGTCTCTACAACAGTAAGTGTCCTCCTTCTCTCTGTCTGAATGTGTAGGATACTATGTGATAACAACTGGATCCTGTGTTTTCACGTCCAGGCTGCTCGCTAAATCCAACCGCCTCACAACAACCCGCAATGCAGTCTGGGCTCTGTCCAACCTCTGCAGAGGAAAGAACCCCCCACCAGATTTTGCCAAGGTGAGTCTACATGTCATAGCCTGTTTGCCCATTGGCCTGCAGCATTCATCCACCTTTGGTATTAAACTGTGTCTTTGTTGTCCTTGTGTGTGGTGTGTGTCAGGTGTCTCCTTGTCTCAGCGTGCTGTCCAGGCTTCTGTTCAGCAGTGATCCAGATGTTCTGGCTGATGCTTGCTGGGCTTTGTCCTACCTGTCTGACGGCCCCAATGAGAAGATCCAGACGGTCATTGACTCCGGGGTCTGCCGTAGACTAGTGGAGCTACTCATGTAAGGAACTGGCAGGTCCACATTATAGGAGAGTAGTCATTTCCCGATTCCTTAGAGGAAGATCTGGCCTAGATGAACTGTCAACTGTCACTTGCAAATATGCTGTTCGCTCTGAATATTTCTAACACAATATGTAGAATTTAAATACTTTGCACTAAAATGTCCAGATTTCAACCTGGATCAATCAAGAAAACTAGTAAATGTCCATATTTGGGGGTTTAGTTATGGATGTATGGATGCACCAAACGTAATTATTCCAGGGTGTTACTTT